TCGCAAAATATTTTCCTCTCCATAATTTTAATTTATTACTAATAAATAAATTGGCCGATGGTAAATTATTATTACTTAGTAATTTTGATTTTGTAATAAATTGGCCAGTGAGAAATTCTTGTTTGTTTCTTCTTCGGTTTGCGAAAGAGAATAATTATTACTGCGTTACTGCGACCGAACCTGATGTGACGGAAGATTCCTAATTGTCACTGTAGAATATTTTCCTGCGTGTAGTCATCGACTCGACGCGATTCGGGAGAGCGCCGTTCTGTGCGTCCTCTTTCATACACGTCGGTCGTTTTCAGATATCTCGAACTGCTGCGTTGTCAATGCGGGATACAAAGCGCGACGAGTGTCATGCAAACACATCGAGGGGGAAAATCCACCGGAAGCATTAGGTATACACAGCGACGTATCGTACGTATGCCGAAGAGACGAAGAAAGTAACGCTCGCGCGCGCGTATAGTTCCCTCTACTTTATTTTTAAACGCGTAGGTGAACACACACACCAGTGCCACCACGAGAGCCGATAATCGTGAACTTCGCTTATTTATTCCAATGGCCGTGCCATTGGAATAAACGCACAGTGGCGTCCTCTTCCGAGTATGAGGACGCAATAATGCAAAATTTTGCTTGTTAAATCATCTCCATAAATAATGCGAGGAGGTTTCTCTGAGGTGGGCGATCGAGCGATCAGCGTTGCTAATAAGATCGAGAAATATAAATATATCTGAAACGTAAAAATAAATCTCCTCGGGAATAAATTAATCTAAATGTCGATCCGTTTTTGTATGTCCTCCTCTTCTTCCGAGACTAATACATTTATTTATTCTGCCGTTCCTCTCTCTCTCTCTCTCTCTCTCTCTCTCTCTCTCTCTCTCTCTCTCTCGCCAAGTATTGTTTAAGCAAATCAAGGCATCATTTAGCGAGGCATCATCTAACGAGCGTTCCTACCGCCATGCTGCGCGTTACGTCAAATGAAAAGAACTATTATAAATAAAAGAGAGGAGATTACGACGGAGACAGAGTTTCAACGTGTACGCGCGCTTCGCCCGAGTTTCGCGTAGTTTTCCTCGCGTTGCGAAAGGATCTATAATGATCTCGACCATCGATATCGGTTGTGCGGAACACGCACGCGGATTACGCACAATCGCGAAAACCACGATAATCCACATAAAGGCGTGTACGTGCACATAAATACGTGCGCACGAGCACGAGCACGAGCACAGGCTCGTGCTGGAAACGCGGATGCGCATATAGTCGCGATGCCCACCTAGTGAGATGCACGGTCGCAACCCGTGATCCTGGTCCTTTTACTGCCGCTTTTAAGTCTCTCCGAGACGCCGAGACGCGTATCGTCGTCGTCCGTAGGCCGAGGCATCAAAGCGCTCGTAAAAAAATTCAAAGTATCGTAACGCGGAGATTGCAATTTTTTTAACTGCACGGCAGCCACGCGAGACCCATGCGCGGCTTGTCCGCTTGACGTCAGTTTTACCGGGCACCGTGCCGCGACGACACGATTTTTATCTCTCTCTCTCTCTCTCTCTCTCTCTCTCTCTCTCTCTCTCTCTCTCTCTCTCTCTCTCTTTCTCTCTTTCTCTCGTCAACTGTACCCAGTCGTAAGATAGTCGAGAAGTCGTAATTTGAATCGTAGTATTCCTTCAAACGAGAGACGTACGCCGCGCGCGTACTTTGAGATATCGGCCGAGCCGCGGAGAATCTTGCTTTATGCGCGTCACTGGAAATAATTGTCGCGCAATGTTCTATATTTCTTTACTTTCGCGCATATTTTTATCTGCCAATGTGTGTAACACAAAAGCAGGGGCAAGTTCAGTTTCATCTTTTTTGTGGAGGTTAAATTCCTCGCCCGAAAATCTGCTCCATTTCAATCAGTTTTCTTTTGCAATCGAGAGAACAGGCGATATACTGCGTATCTCAGTGCAAAGTCAAATGTAATTTAATCGTGAGGTTTTGTTTCTCTTTTCTTTTTAGTAAAATGTTCTTCGTTAATTTTTAACGCGAAAGCATGGCTATGCGGTATAAAAAATCAGAGTTCAAAGCGCGCTCCGTGATGACGCCGACGCAAGCCGAGTTTCATCCGCTAGTGACAAATGAAATGAAATGAAATGAAACTTATACGACGTGTGATAGACGGATTTAAAAGTATAATCGAGGCTATTCGGGTCGTCCGTTTATTCGACATTTGTTTTATCACACCTCGCCTCGCGTCTAATTAGCTCTCAAATTTAAATGCGTCGACAGCTGCGGCCGGACCTATTTACGCGGGATATCAGGATGAATAAGATACGACGCGTGCGCGCACGGATTGCAATTGTGCGACATCGGTGTGACCTCCGTCGATTTTCACTTGACTCGCGTCATCCTCATTTCTTTCTCGTGCATATACATTTATTTCTTTGCGAGAATACAAGATATTTTATGGTTATATACGAAAATATGCTGTACACCTTCCTCACGCACTTTTCACACTTTCTTTCGCCGCGTTAATTGTTACGCAGGATCGGGGAACACTTCGGGAATCTATAATCATTTGCAAATTTCCATCCTCGTGTCGAGTTCTCCTTCCTTTGTCATTAAATTTCGACCGCACCGCATCGACAGCGCCATCACTCGTGTCAAAACCAAACGGGTATTACGGATGCCAAGGTTACGAATCACGCGTAAAGTTACAGAGAATTAGGTATCGGTACTGCTTTCAGATGTATCGACCTTGACACACGTAAAGAGACTTTTATACGCAAAGCTATTCTGCTCGCAAAGGCATCTCTCTCCTCCGGAGAGAGCTTGCTTCTCTATTAACTCTTATATAGCCGCTCGCTAGGAAAGCAAGCTAGGATTCGCGATGCGTATTCTATAGCCGACACAATAAACTTCACTTCCGCGCGTTTACGTTGCGTTAACTGTCCGAGAAAATGCGGGGGGCCGCACGTCGGACCTATGGAGATAAATACTTCGCTTCTAGAACGGCTCTTTTTCACAGGCGCTGGGGGGTTTCTCGAAGCTCCCTCCGCCCTCCCTTCGTTAAGGAGGAGAGGAGAGTGGCGCGCGATGTTTTTCGCACAGGTGTGCGCGTACGCGCACACCCCTCTTTTTTCATCACAGTTGGATTACTAAGAAAATTTTACCTAGAAGGGGAGGGGACCTTTTGCTTGTAATTCAGATTGCAGGGACAGCGCGAACGCAGTCCCAACTACCAAAAATTATACGTCCGAGATATCCACATTAGGGATATTCGCAAGGGTCAGCTCGACCGCAGTGCAATGGAAGAGCCTCGCCCTGGAGGAACCGCCTTATTGATCACGGTAACCTCTACGCCAGGTAAGTATGCTTTGCTCCCTCGCGCGAGTCCTCTTATAGCGGCCAAGTCGAATCTTGACTGCGGGAAAGTCTCGCCGGGCATGCGCCGCGTAGCGTGGAAGACTCGAACTAACTCCAGTCTCCCTACTCCGCGCATCTTGAACAGCTCTCTCTCTCTCTCTCTCTCTCTCTCTCTCTCTGCCGTTAAGCAGCGTACACATCATGTGCAGCAACCTACGTATTTTTGTCGACAGAGAGAGAGAGAGAGAGAGAGAGAGAGAGAGAGAGAGAGAAGCCTATGAAAATTTTTGGGGAAAATTCGAAGCGAAGAAGAAATTGTCCACTCCGAATTATGATTCGGTGTACGAATGGAAATAAAAAAGTAAATTGAAGTGCTTATAATACATTGATTTTGATTCATTGATCATAACTACGGTATCTCTACGGTGTTATCATACCTCTGTATTAACGTTCAACGAGATCCCGAGTGTAATAATGAAGACGTAAAATCTGCTCGGAGAGATCGCTCGGAGAGATGCTTCGCACTTTTTCGTCTCGGACGAAAGAAGCGGGCCGACCGCGCGATGACCGACGGACGCTTATTTATCGTATCTGCGTAGAACGCGGGCCCGAGTGTCGATTGGAGAATGAGCCGGCATGTTGAAGCACTCGAGGTACTAATTAGCCCTAATTGGCCGGCGAGAGCAGGAGACGACGAGCGCGCAACAATATCGCGCGACGTGTATAGCGCGGGCACGGCCGGGGCGAGACCGTTCGTGTCGCGCTCGCGCAGGTTTCTTGTGTTTCGGAATCGCGTCCACCGTGCTGGAAAAATTCGACAATTTGACGGGAAGAGTTGCTCCCTGAACGAAATGCAGCACCGAGCACACACATGGCACTGAACTTCTCGCTGGTCGCTGGACGGCGGAGAATAGTGTATCTCGCGTTGCGCGAGAGCTCTCGAGCGCACGCGGCTCGCTCGCGATCAAAGTGCAACTTATTCGAGGCGAGCTCGCAAAGCGTGACGTGTCCGGTTCTGCCGGGAAAATTTTCAGCGCTGCGGTGTATTTTTACAAACGTGTGTTTACAGAATAAATTTGCATAGGGTTTAATGCTGGAAGAAATTCCCGGCTGGAACATTACGCGCTCGCTCGCGCAGGGAGTGGCGAGACGCGTCTTTGTGTCCGCGATATCATATTCTCCGTTGTTGGCCGTTAATTTACATACAACAAAAGCAAAGTACGCCGGCGGAAGGCCTTGGTGAGAAAGAGAGAGAGAGAGAGAGAGAGAGAGAGAGAGAGCTGATGCGGCGTGCCGTTGTATTTTCAACTCGACGCTGTTTGCGTGCGAATATGCGATTCCTCCATGTGTAACGTGCAACAAAGACACGTAAATAATTGTTCGCAGAAAAATCCGACGAGCAAATTTCATTTCTTCTCTCTCTCTCTCTCTCTCTTTTATTCCTTGCTCCTAAAACTTATCGAAATGTGATTCAGATGGAATCATGTTTCAACCTTTGCTCGCGCGACGAGCGAACTTTGCCCCTATGATTTCAACAATGACGACGCGACGTATGGTGGGGTTTCTTCCTTCGCCTTTCTTTTTCCAGTCCTCAAGATTACAACACTCCACGCAACATTCGGTTCCCTCTAGAGAAATTTATGTTTGGAATTATTAGATCGTAGGGAACAGCGCGAACGCAGTCCCTGCTACCAAAAATTATACGTCCGAGATATCCACATTAGGGATATTCGCAAGGGTCAGCTCTCTCGACTATAGTGCAATGGAGGAGCCTCGCCCTGGAGGAACCGCCTTGATGATCACGGTAACCTCTACGCCAGGTAAGTATGCTTCGACTCGTGGCGCGGGCCTTCTTATAGCAGCTGCCGTGAAATTTTGAGTTCGAGAAACGTTGCGCGGCGTAGCGTGAAGTATCTCAACTAAACTGCTCTTGCGGGACCTCGAAGAGTCGTCCTATTATGTAGTCCTGTTATGGTCCATAGTCAGCTTTTCGCAGGATTGATCCTCACCAAACGTGTAGATGTATGAATGCGATATTTTTCACGAATACAATAAGCAATTTTTATCCAGTAGACCGAGAAGAAGACGAGAAAGATCGCTCGTTGCTGTTCCGACTTTACGTTCGATTCCTCTAAACCCAGACGCTCATAAAGCACGCGCGCGTTTTAGCTTCGTTTTTTCTAATTTTTTTGTCTTTCCCCTTCCGCGATTTTCAGCGATGCGAATAAGCGTTGCTTATCGCGTTCGCCAGATCTCTCATACAGCTCCACGTCGTAGCACATATTTTTCCTGCTAATCAATAATGCGCGACTGTGCACGGATTAGCGGATTGCTAATCAATAATGCTCTCCAATAATCACCTGTCCACCTGTCACCTGTGTCGTGTTAGCCGCGATAAACTCTCGCGATGTATTATTTTAACGCAATTTTATAAATCGTCCGAGTTTTATAATTACTCGGTCCCTTTCTCTTTTTGTACGGATCAATAAATTGGATCTGATTAATTTCGCACGAGCAACGCACGAGCGAGTGCGCTTTCTCGCCCGATTTATTTCTTTCGTTCTGCCGGCTGATGAACAATTTTAATTTGATCCTTCTTTTAATTTTATGCAATCGAAAAAATATATACGAACGTTCCTTCGCGTAATCATGTAAACCTTCGGTCATGATTTATAATTAATCTATCCGCTGGCGCACACCGTTCATCTGGAAAACCACGTCCACGGACCGTTTTCGGACAATCTTACTTTTCCATGTGTCGGCGTGGAATCAAAAGTTCTCGTGTGTGAATATATATATATATGTGTGTGTGTGTGTGTGTGTGTGTGTGTGCAATCGCTCCGCCGTGAAAATCGATGTGTCACGCACACGTGAGATTCGGTAGCCAACGTGTTAATTGTGTAAGATTGACAATACGGTTTCCTCCAAGCCTCGCCTGATCTGGTTGGGGCGCAGTCGCTCCCCACCAGAGAAATCTCCACTAAAACAGCCCCTTCAACATGGTGACAAGTTATAGTTCGAGTACTGCACGCTACGCAGCGCAAGTTAGACAGCATCTTCTCGCATATGAAATCCGGCCATCGATGCTTTAAGAAGAACCGAGCGAGGAAGCAAAGCATACTTACCTGGCGTAGAGGTTACCGTGATCATCAAGGCGGTTCCTCCAGGGCGAGGCTCCTCCATTGCACTACGGTCGAGAGAGCTGACCCTTGCGAATATCCCTAATGTGGATATCTCGGACGTATAATTTTTGGTAGCAGGGACTGCGTTCGCGCTGTCCCTCTACACAATCTTGACTCCAAGTACAAAAATTCTCTCTCATCTAGACCGGAACGAAAGTGGTGTTTGGGAACTTTTGAGGTATTTTACAAATACTTGACTCGTGTTTCGGAAATTCAACAAGGTTCTAATTTCCTGATACGTGCGCTAGTAGCTTCTTGTGTGGGAGGATATCTCGGGGATAATGTGTGTTGCAGGGAGGAAGGAAGGGAGATTGCGCACCAGCAATATATATAATGTGTAACCAGCTTTCATTTCTTTTTATAATTTGCAAAAACTTAATAGAAATGAGGAAAAGGCTATTTGGAAGTTATCCTTGATCTGTTTGTGGCATTCTGTAATTTTTTGAGATTTTTTGCACAACAATAATATCTTCTTCAGGTACGTCTTTTTCAAAACCTCCGCAAGTGGTACAATTTTGGCAACTAGTCGCTCAATTTGTACAACGGAATTTCCCAAATTGTATCGTATTTCCTTTATCATATGTAAGGTGTGATTAATTTAGAAACTGGATGAAGGAATAAAAATAATATACACAAACAATTTAAATAATTACATGTTACATAACTGCAATAATTACAGTTTTTGCATAACAAACTGAAAGATTCCTTTCTTCCTTTAAAAATGAACATGAAAATTTTAAAAAATAAAATATTTTTTTAACTTAACTAAGAAATTAATTAAAATCACAGCTTGCATGAAAAATTAAAAGCCTAAATTTTGAATTAAAAATAAACATTAAAATTACTTATTAAAATAATTATCCAAATTATATCCATTTTTATATGAAGATTATTTTATATGAAAGTGGAGAGAAACTTTTTTCACAAATTATTCTTCGACCACATATATATATATATATATATATATATATATATTAAAATTGCGAATATAAAAATTGCAAAATTTATTTATCATATCCACGAAATTAAAATTACAATTAGAAATAAAAGATCTTTACAAACTCTTTACAAACTCAATTAAAAAATAAATAGCTGTTAAATAGAAATCTATTTTTCAATTTAAGCAAAAAATAAATATAAGTAACACAAAAGAAGGAAATAAACGACTTTCCATCGAAGCGATTTAAGAATATAACAATATTGTGCATTACAGATGTAATTTTCTAATTTAGGAAAAGAATTCCTAAATTCTACCGATGTAATAAGCATAAGCAATAAATATAATACGTTTTAAGAGAATTAGTCGTTTCTCAAATTATGCCAGAGCAAAGAAGTATACACACAGTAAGGTTAAATAAAAAAACGACAAGCAGCTAAGTAGATCAATACACCTTTTGAAACTTTCTAAATGCCTTCCTTGTGTAAAAATAGGTAAAGCTTGCTTCTCAAACTAAAAGAAATTTACTTTATTTGTTTGATTTTTAATACGTAGCACATCGTGTAATAAACACTCACTTCCCTCTATCAACCTTATAACGCGGCGCGGACGGTAGATAGACCTCGCATATGCATATGCAGACGACGCTGGGCCTTCTAATTCTATGAAATATAAAGATGGTGCTGAGATTTAAGATTGCCGCTCCGGTGCAATATTGGCGACTTTCCCCTATAATTTTGTTCAGATCAGATCGCGCAAAGGTCATCGTTGTGACACGAAAACCTCGCTCTCTCTAGCCGAGGGAGCAGCGATAGGACGTACGATTGGAATAGAGCTTCAGAGCGTGGTGTGTATTACAACATTACATATGTATGGTATATGACACGAGTATGATTGCGCGCGCGTGCTGGCAGAAGGACGCCGAAATCTTCGTCGCGCCGAAAATCATCGCTCTTTTCGCTTTCGGTTCGTCACATTTCTCACGCCATTCATAGCTCACGCACCTGTACGTACCTCTCCTCTCCATCCGATTGGATTACACCTGCGCACGTGTGTCGCAATGTGTAGCCTCGAAATATTAAAGGACACTTCAGGACGACGCGTGTTCCTCGCGTATACGTGTAGGTACGTGCCTAACGGGCACCTCAACGCATTCCGCTTGCATATTTTAATTCCGCGGCCGCGCGACTCGGTGACTCGGAGCAATGTTACGTAAAATTTCCGTGATGTATGATGTATGAAAGATTTACAGGGTCGGCTGGCCTTGGCCAGCCCGCTCGATCTGTTCCCGTCGAGTCGTTCGCAGTCATGTGTCTTCGTGGTCAAACAACTATATATCGGGGTATTCGCGCTCGCTTTCGATTGAGAAACATCGGCGAGGAAGATGCGTTATTTACATTCGTGGTCTCTCTCTCTCTCTCTCTCTCTCTCTCTCTCTCTCTCTCTCTCTCTCTCTCTCTCTGTCGTTACACCTATTACGCGGCTGTCGGCTGTTGCATAACGAGTATTAATATAAAAATTGACATACAAGTCCGCGGGGAGTGGATGACACGCGTAAAAGCGTGCGTTACGCTTCCCGCAAATGTTTATCATTGCGCGCAGCACTATTTCCGAGCCTATTTCCGTCGCGCTCCCTTATCGCTCGTGATACATTGCTACTTATCATAAGTCACCAGTGATGTCGCAGTTAGCGCTTAACTTTTAACATTCGCGCAGACGCGAGTATTTTTCTATTATAACCGGAGGAATTTCGCTTCGTTTTTCGTCATCGTGTCCCTCGAGTCGCACCGAGTCGAGGTGGGAGAAGGGAAGAGCGAGTCATTTTTCCATGCGGTTCTCACGCGCGGCTCACTTCCACTCTTTCGCCAGCGAGATGCGTTTACGACCACGTCCGCCGATCATGCCGTCGCCAACAACGACGACGACGACGACGACGACGACGATGACGACGATGACTCTCTCGTCCGAAAGATTCACTCTTATCGTTTGTCTTATCGCTCGTGTGCCTTATCGCGTGTTGTTTAATATGGTAAGCTTCATTATCTCGTTATTATACCGCCAGCCAAGTGAGCCGATGAAGTCGACACGAGTCTTATCGCCGCACTTATTTTAGCCGGCCCCGCATTATCGCTATTATAATTAAGCGGAATGCAAATCCAAGTTAACATGGCGGCGTATCATTATTCGCCACCGACCGTTTGTCGTTACCTTCAAAGCGACGAGGCAGCATTGAGCAGACTCGCGGCGCGAATCGTTATTAAATATAAGTACCGCCACGTGCACGTGTTATCGTATGCAAAATATCAGCTTCTCGTTCCTTCGCCGACCCCCCTATCGTCGATCTCGTATGTCCCGACGTTTCCTCTCCGATTGCCCAATGGCAGCGTTTTTCGCGCGTGTATCACGCGCTGCGCCGCGCCGCGCCGCCACGACGAGAGAGAAATCCTATACAAAGTCCTTAACACACGTCGATCCACACAAATATCGCGTAATTTCAGTTTTCCAGTTGCGCGAACGCAGCCTTATTATTATTATTATTATTATTATTATTATTATTATTATTATTTATGTGCACACGCGCGCGCGCCGATCGTCATCAACGATCCTTTATTCTAACCTAAGTGAAATATCGCTCGCGCGCTACGCGTCGTCACGTCTCAACGAGTCGCCATCCGAATAGAAAAGTTAATTAATCAGGCTCTGATAAGG